AAGATATAGTTGACTCTTGAACAATGTGGGAGTTAGGGGCACTGACCCCCCTGTACAGTTGAAAATACACATTTAAGTTTTGACTCCCCCTAAACTTAACTACCAATACCCTGCTGTTGACTGGTAGTCTTACCAATAGCATAAACAGTTGATTAACACTTATTTATATGGAGTATTATATTCTGTATTCCTACAATAAAGTAAGCTAGAGAAAAGAAAATGTTATTTTTAAAAAAGATTTATTTATTTATTTTGGTGAGAGAGAGAAAGAGAGAGTGCAGGGTGGAGGGCAGAGGAAGAGGGAGAGAGAAACCCAGGCAGACTCCGCCAGGAGCCCTGAGATCAGACCTGAGTGGAAACCAGGAGTCAGACACTCAACTGATTGTGCCACCCAGGCACTCAGAAAAGAAAATGTTATTAAGAAACTCATAAGGAGGAGAAAATACATTTACACTATTGTATTTGTTGAAAAAAATCTGCATATAAGTGGACCTGTGCAGTTCAAACTTGTGTTGTTCAGGAATCAACTGTATTGGATTTGGGCAAAATATGTGATATGAGTATAGTATTTTGCATAAAGGCATGAATTTTGCTGTGAGACCTATATTCAAATTCTAACCCTCACCTTCTAGTTTGGGAGTTTGGACGGAGATTTAACCTCTGTGACTCTCATTTCGTAATCTATAGAATGGGAGTGATAATACTTGCCTCACTGGATTGTGAAAGGATTAAAAGTGGTAAAGTGTATGTTTTAGCCAGGAACCTCTTGGAAATAAAATGTAAATGTAGGGTTAAACTGATAACACTTTATTAGACCGATAAACTGATAACACTTTATTAGACTGATAATACTTTATGAAACTGGTAATACTTTATACTAATAATCAGGGCAGTGAGGATGAGGAAGAGTGGGAGTGAAGTGTCCGAGAATGCAACGATTTGGTGCAGGACTGTATTGGTGAGCCTTTGAGGAATAACAGCTGTAAGGTGGTAGAGAAGTTGAACTGCATCAGAAGTCTCAGCCAATCTCAGGAAGCTCAGGATTTGGATGGGTCTTTAGAGTGGACCCAAAGTGAGACAAAGGCTCTGGGCCTATGTATTCCCTCAATCACCAGTCACTGGATGAGGGGTGGAGGGAGAGAGGGACAAAACCTGAGACCAGGCAGCTGATTTTCTCCCAGGGCACACCGCTCGCTGTGCACTACTGCTGCCAGTACTCATGCATTGGTCCTGTAGGGAGGAATGTGATATGATGAGCTCTGCGGCCCTGGCCACCACTTTGTGTGGAGTCCCATAGTGACTCAGCAGGGTACAGCAGGTAGGCACTGCATGCTCCATTAGCCACACAGGTTTGCAAGGAGAACTCTCAGCAGTGCACAGCAGATGAAAAAAGAGAAAATTTATTTGCACGGCGCTCTCCCATGTCCCATTTCCCACCAGCCATGCCTCTGTGCCTCTTAGAAAACCAGATTCCATGCTTGGCTTCATGGATTTCATCTACAAATTACACACTAATCAGGAGAGAGAAAAGAAGAGATCACTGAGGGAATTTGAGAAAGTATAAAAGATTGGTATCCAGGTGAGTCGATAAAGCAGGTAGTCTAGAATATGACTTAGAGTGAAAATTCAGTATATAGCTAACACCCGTGTAGCACCTTCCTTTGTGGCAGCCCCACTCTGTGTACTTTACGTAGATAATGTATTTGTTCCTTACAATAGTTTGATGAAAAAGATACTAATACTAGTATATTTACATTTTATAGACGAGGATATTGAGACTCGGATATTAAAGCTAGTAAATAGCACAGCAGAGAGTTTATATAACCAGGCGTCATTTCAGAGTTTATGCTGTGAACCATTCCACTGTATTGCTTCCAAGTAGCTATTATTATTTTTATTATTGCTATCATAATTAGAATATGTAAATATTTTATCATAAATATAATTAGCATTAGCAAAATATATTGAATATGAAAGACTTTACAAAAGTTTCAGTAATTTTTACTTTCATTTTTAAACTAATATCACCAGATAATTAGTATTTATGAAAAGTGATACAGGAAGTCCTGGCACTTACCCAAGTTTCTTTAGCTATACAGTAGAAAACAGGATCAAAAAATAAAAGAAAATGTATGTGGTTCATTCAATAAAAAAAATCTCTTCTGCGTAGTATATCTTGTATCAGGATGACTACAGCCTGATCTGCAATTAGAGAATCTGTAAATCTAAGGACCCTAATTCCATTTCTGCCATTAACTGATTTGTTATTTAGAATACATCACTTCATCTCTTTATGTGTTAACTATATTTGTAAAATAAGGTAATTAGTAACATCTATCGTATATATATCACAGGACTTTTTTTAAGGATAGAAATAAGACAATATATATGCCTGAAATGAAAAAAATATATTGAAAACAACCTGGAATTATTTGGGAAAAAATTTAACTGTTTTAAAAGTACTGCATTTAAAAAAGAAAATCCCTGGATAAAAAATCGATAATTTTTATAATTTTATAAAGAAACCTAGTTCAAATGGTTTCCATCATTTAGTCTTTAATGGGATCATAATTTTTTATTACATCCTTTACACTGAGACATCTCTTCATCACTATTGATGTAACAAAACTTGTATATCAGGGATAAAAATTTATTCAGCTCTTCCTACTTGGTCATTGAACAAAGACTATTTGACCTGAATATAACTGTGGTGTTCAATATATCTGTACACTCTCAAGTATGGCAATAAATCAGGAACATAAGATTGATTTTTTTCAAAAATTATATAAATTTATTAAATTAATTACTTTTGTGTTTTGAGATTACCACAGATTAGTTTTTCTAATGTTTTGTCAAATTTCTTGGATTTATTTTTAGGCCTTCCCAATTCCTCCTGGGTTTATGGTGTGTTTTCTTTACATACTGGAAACTGACATTCTTTTACGTATCTCTCAGTTTTTGCTTTCCTTGTCAAGCTCCCTGAGTTCATGCTGTTTTTTGTTTACATTTCCATATCCAGGAGATGGACTGTTTTTACTACATCAAATAATTTACACTTTTGATTTTGTATCCAAGTCCTATTACTTCTCTGCACCTTACCTGTTCATGTGTGTGTGCAATTATATTGGATATTTTTTTCTTTCTTATGTAAGTAAGATCTCTTCTTATTCATTAAATCATTTATCATTTATAGAGCACAAACTTCTTTGTAGATATATTTTTTTATTTTTGTGATTGCTTGGAAAATTACTGTGCTTATCTTTGGAATGACATAAAATTGGATACACGCATATCTGAATAATTATCCTTCTAGAGGCAGTTCATTGGTTATTTTAAATTATCTTAAAGACTTACAAGAGGAATTATAGAAGAAATTTTTTTTACATAATATTAAAAGTAAAGATGAAAATTAATAATGCATTTAGCTTTTTATGTAACATGTGATTGTTATTTTTCCTGGTAAAAATTCTCATTTATTCATATGTACCTGCCTTGAAATTTGTACCTTAAGGACAAAGAAAGGTCACCAATCCTTCTAACTCCTGGTTCTTTGTCAAAAATGGACACAGTTAATGAGGTTTGTTTGGTACAGAACAAATTCTCAGACACAGATAGAGATCCTTTCAATGGAAACAAATTTGTTTGGCTTTACCAGGTTACTTAGCGATTAATAATAGCCTTGAGATGCAGGTCAGAAAGGTCATTGTACCAGCTTGCCAACACAATCTAAATGTGCAGCTAGCCCAGCTCTGTGGGCGCAGAAGCCCCCAAAATACTATGCATAAAGTAAAACAGGCTATTTTCTGACTCCTTTTTTCATATTAATAAGCAATTTTCAAGAGAAGAGTGGCAAAATGAGGGCCATGCCACTCCAAGTAATTCATTTATTTTGCAATTTAATCTTATGTTGAAAAAATTGCTCTGCTGCAATAGCATAGCATGGTGATTTTTAAACGTCAGTGTGTTTCATAAGTAACCTTGTATGAAGTATTGTATTAGTAGCCTTTAACAGAAAATTGCAACAAAAATATTTCTAGACATTGAAGTAGAAATGAGAATCTTTTTTTATTTTTGGAATCTTTCCCTCTACTTTCCCTTGATATCTTTGAGGTAACTGCTCAGATCATTTGCTTAAAATTGTACTTAAAGAACTGGACACTAAGTTACATATCTATTTTTAAAAAAGAACAACATATAATTTCAAAACATTATTTTAACATGAATAGTTAAATTTGTTCTGTGAAAATGAAAGATTTATTTTTTTCCATATTTCATAATATCTTAGTCTATTTATCAGGCATTTTTTACATAGTATATTTTAAAAGTTTATTTTTTGTTTAAATTTCTTAGATACACACACATAAGTGATGAAATTTTCATTATTTTTAATGGAATTTATTGTACCTACAAAGCCATGAACTTATTCACCTAGTTTAGCTTTTATTTTAATTATCTGTATAACTGAACAAAATAACATTTCAAGTGCAGGTTAATACATGTTGGTATTATTTGAACTGTTAACTGAAGTAAACTTAAGCATATTTATAAAAATCCATCACACTTTCAAAATTAGTCTGTTAGTGTACAAAATAAATGATTAGAGACTTGTAAATATGAAATCAAAATTTAAAGGAAATCAGTAGCTCAGATGGTTTCTTGGGATATTTACATATATCCAAAATAGCTAATCTTCAACCAAAGAAAATGGCAAGGTAGTCATTCACTTACTTTGCACTTGATATATTTCCTTAGCTGTTGAGTTAATTATAATATGTAGATATTTGATTTAAAAAAATCTAACCACTGAAAAATCACTTAAATGCTTTTTAAAGATTACAAAGATTCAGTGGAATGTGCAGGTAAGATCGATTACACCACTGATTTTGATGGATGTGGGTGATGGTAGCTGCTCAAAAAATTTCTTGATTATCATCAGTGGAAGAAGGCAAATGCTAGCAGATTTTTGGTATCATAAATAACTGCAGATTGTTTTGATGCAGGGAGGCCCTGGAGGAGTTTGCAGAGATGAAAGAAAGAGAAGAGAAGAAGGCCGACCTCGAAAGGGAAGAGAAGAAAAGAGATTACCAAGCCCGAAAGATGCATTACCTCCTCAGCACAAAGCAGGTTGGTCTACCTGTCCCTGACAGCTCCCGTAAACCACTTGGGCCCCTGGCCTGACAGAGATAAAGTAGCAGGCTGAATGGGACATGACTTGTTGAAAAGATATCACAGAGACACTACTTCGCGTTCAATTTCGTGCTTCTGTGTAGGTGAGTGTAGGCACCATGACTCGTCTGTGACAGCAGCTTCGTAGGCAGCCGCTGGGACGCCAGCAGAAGGTCCACGTCCGCAGTGTGATCTGCCGCTGTGATAACACAACACAAAGGGCATAACCTCGCTTTTGAAACCCATTCTGAGTGGCTTATTGTTGTTTCGAGAATTGATCAAGAACTAAGAAGTTATTAAACCGAGGTCGCTTTCAGGTTTTCTCTCTCACTTGAGCTAATGTTGAGATTAAAACCGTTCTTGCGCCCTAAGTTTGATGCACGTTTTCAAGTAAAGCTTTGAACAAACCTGCTTCAGCAACTACATCTTCATATTGAGATACAAATGTGGAATTTGGAATACTTACAATGATTTTCTTACAAATGGTAAAATTTTAGTGCCTCAGATCTTGTTGTAGTTGCTAAGAAAAAATACATTGGCGTGTAGAATATTCTGCTCACAAAGAAATATGGTTAAAAAACAACATGAATTTGGGGGTTGAAGTATATTTTGTTAATCGAGCTTCAGGCAGGAAACTAGCAATTTGTGGGTTTTTATTCTTTCTCATAGACTTTCAAGTTCAGTCTCATAGTTCAAATGTCTCAGACATGGGCAAGTCAAGTCCATGGCGGAGTGTCCGTGGGTGTTGTCTGAGACTGAAGGTCATGGTTCGAGGCATCCAAATTCAAAAACATTAAGTACTGGACTGGCCATGTACATCTAGAACAGAGAACTGCACTTCTAGCCTCTATTTAGTAGAGTAATTAACAATACTTTCGCTAATGATGACTATCTTAGTATTTACTTAGATTTGTATAGCTGAGTTATCTCCAGTTAACAGACGAGAAAACTGGAAGAAAATTACGGGACTGATTTATAGACATAAAAATAGTAATAATAGGTCTGGTACTCAAACTGAAGTCTTTGGATTCTAAATACTTAGGCAATAAAGACAAAAAATAAAAAGTCGAGGTATTTTAAGTTTCAATTATAAATCCATAATGATGTAAAAAATTTACCTGTATAATTGGTGGGCTACATTTTTTTTAAATGTAGAATCACATATCAGGAATTCTCTTTTTTTAACTTCAGTTATTAGTAATTTTAATTTTGATGAAACTAAGGGAGGCATAAATATATCTTTAATTCTTTAAACCTGATAATAATTATTGGGTACAGTTGTTTATTTTGATAACTCTGAATCCCTTTTATACTTTGAATCTTTCTTAATCTGAGGTCTAATTGTGCTGTTTATACTTATGATGGGTAATGTAACAGCAAAAATAAATTTTTAAATGGTGAAATCAGATTTAATGGAAACATTTGTTAATTCTCTTTTATCCAGGGTTATTTAGATATCAAGTACATAGAGAAATATTTTAGAAAGTCCATAAAGACTTAGTTATTTTACCAATAAAACTAATGGAACAGCAGGGGGTGCCTGGGTGGCTCAGTTGGTTAGGTGACCACCTTCTGCTGAGGTCATGGTCCCGGAGTCCCAGGATTGAGCCCCACATTGGGCTCTCTCAGTAGAGAGCCTGCTTCTCCCGCTGCCCCCCACCCTGCTCGTGCTTTATCTGTCTCTCTCAAATAAATAAATAAAATCTTTAAAAAAATTAAAAAAAAATAATGGGGTAGTAAATATCCATGGAATACTTACCTCTGCCACAGAGTATGGTAGATACTTTGTATGCATAATTTCTTTATTTTGATTTCATTTTAGTTTTAAATTTAAACACCTGGTTTAACAAATTATTTCACAAACTTGACCATGTGACTTGACTCCTGACCTTAATGAATTTTTAATATTACCATTGTGTTTTAGGTATGTTTGTGTTAACAAATACAAGCTGTCAATGCCCTAGCCCATTTTCCTTCTTGTTTATACCTTGCAGACTGCTGGTACTATCCAGGTATATAAACTTTAGTTTAGTGATCCCTTGTCTCCAGAAATCCTTGGCATCCAGTAGAATGATTGTTTTTAGGGTGCTGTGTACAGTAGAAACAGTATGGGCATTTTGAAATCAGAGGTAAGTTGGCATCCAAGCTCTCCCACTTAGGGTAAAATATCAGGAGATTACCTGGAACTGTCTGTTTCACTCTGCAATTTGAAAGAACATTACGAGAATTGAATATATTTAAAATACTATCTGGCCCTTAGAGAGCATTCCAGTAAATGGTAACAATCATATTATTAGAATTTAACCTATCGAGGGGCACCTGGTTGGCTCAGTCAGTTAAGTGTCTGCTTTTGGCTCAGGTCATGATCCTGGTTCCTGGGATCGAACCCTATGTCAGACTCCCCGCTCAGTGGAAAGCCTGCTTCTCCCTCTCCCTCTGCCTGCTTATGCTCTCTCTCTTTCTCTCTGTCAAATAAATAGTTTTTGAAAAAAGAATTTAACCTGTCAAGGATAAATGAAGATTCTATACTTTCATTTTCTTCTGTTTGTCGTAGTTGTTGGAAGCATTCATTTTTCTCATTTCTTTTCTTTGCTTTCCTTTAGTTATTAATGAAAATTAGTTAGAAATATTTATAATGATCTTCCCCAACATCCCCCTGCCCCATTTTACAACTGCCCTCACAGGCCTGAGGGCAACAGAGGGAAAATGATGTTCTTAAATCCGCTTCCTTGGAGAAGAATATTATAAAAATATCAGAGATTTTCATTTGGATCTGGCAAGTTGGTCTGTTTTGTCCTAGTGATCTTCATATTTGATCACAAATAACTGGAGATAAAATACAACCCTTTGAATCTATGCAGACACTTTTATTCCCAAAGCAAACTTTTTTTTTTTTTTGTAATGAAATAGAGCAGTGGTATCATCTTAGTCTCATCTGTTGACATTCGTGAGGGGATTAGTTTTACTAATGGGATGGTACTGGAATTTCAGATGTTTTATTCCTTATTTTTCATCATGATGTAAAAAAGTTGAATTTTAAATTGATATTACAAGTCGTAATTATAAACCATCTTTACCTAAACAAAAGTATACAATATTCACCTTAACCTGAATAAAGATATGCAACACTAACATTAATAAATAGATTGAATATACATCTTAACTTTAAAATTCTTTAATTATTCCAAAAAACATATTTTTGAGTACTGACAATCTATCTGATACTGAACCAGGAGTAGGACGTAAAAATGTATACTATATGATCCTTCACCACAAGGCATATTCACTCTGATTTCAGTGTATCCCAAACAAATATTTTTACTAGAAAGAAATTTGATACCTTTCAATTGCAGTTTATATAGGTGGTCTTATTGAAACTAACCATTTATATTTATGATTTTGTGATTCCATTTATTATTTTATTTTCACAAAAATCTTTCCTTTCCCTAACCTAAGGAAGACTCAGAGAATGAAAGACACATGTTTCAATTTGAGTATTATTACTGATTTTCTCAGCATGACTTGGCTATGGGGGAGAAATTAAGTTGCAGATTTCAAAACATTCCTGAGATATTTACAGATTAATTGCGCGTTTTAAGAGTTTTGATTTCAAATTAATTAAATATACATTTAAGTACAAAATAAAAGCCAGGTATGAATTGAGTATTTGTTATTAAAGGCTTGTGTCAGTTTTAACTCTCAATTTGTGCAGTTATTTGAAAATTTACTGAATAAATATTCAAGTGTAAGTAATTTTTATAAGAAGTGCATCAGGATAAGAAAAGTTCTGCGGATGTATTTAAAGGGAATAATACTAATAGCCTTTTTAGAACTGTTTTATTAGTGATTTCAATAATTTAGGAGTGATTTATAATGATATATAATGATAGTTTGTAGAATATTAATTTTCAGACTAAGTTTTCATAGGTCTAATATAGCTTCACTTAGATGAGTAGAAATAAAACGTTAATTCAGACAAAGAATGCTTTAGAAAACGTAAGGAATTTTCTAAGCCAAAATTGTATTTGTGAATTCATATATAGATAATAAATGAAGTCATATGTTATTTAATTTTTAATAATTTTAGGACTATTATGCTGATATACTGACATACTCAAACTGATAACCTGTTTAAAAGTCAGTGTTAGTACAAATCTAGTGTATATCTTAGAATAGTTCCAAAATATATTCCTGATTTTTACTGATATTAAGTATCTCATCTTTATGCAAGCAAATATGTTAGCACTAATAGGAATTACACAAGTAAATAACTAATATTGCAATGAGTGAATTAATAGACCCCTCAGGGTTTTATTAATTAAAAAGTTCAAGTCATATTAAAGCACCTTTTGTATATGTTTATTTCAGAAAGCTGAACATGGTAACTTATTTGCATAAATAATCAATCACCATTTACTAGTAGTAATAAGGTTAATTTGTTGCTACAGACATAATAGGATTAGTCAATTATATTTCCCAGAAAATACTATTTGTTATGCACCCCATCACCTGTAAAACAGGATTGAGTTTAGTGCCCTTATTAAATGAACACATCAAAAAATCTTTGTCCCTGTAAAAGTTTTATGAAAAGAAAGCTAATTTTAGTTGATTTGAATAAGTAGAATGCAAACATTGCTTCCATTTGTAAATTAAATTTATCTTTCTGCAAAGATTGATTACTTAATAAAGTTACTTATTTTGATTCAGTAACCAGTCAGACTAAATCTAACACATATAGGACATTTTTCCTTTGAATAAAATCTCATGTGCAGATTTGTTTTATTCCAAATAAACTGACTTTCATTCCCGTCCTTGTTCTTGGGTAATAAATTATGTTGTCTGCTCCACCTACTGGTAGATACATGAAAAAGGCCTATTGTTGGACTCATTAGAAGACACTGCCTCTAAAATATTGCCAGAATTTTTACAGATCCTCCTAGAGAACAGCAGAGTTACAG